ACTTTTTAATCCAAGGGCAAGCCAAGATTCACCTGGCAGGGTAGCATCAGTGTCAGGCTGGTTGATAACTCACTTCTTCCCAGCCTGGTCACCAGGTGTCCTGGGTGAGGTCACTCTCTATGAGTTAATTCTCAATTGATTGCTGTGAGTCCAGTGGCCTTGTCCATCCTTGCTCCAACCACAGACTCCTCCCCTCATTTGTCCTCTCCAGTGATATGACAGGTCTACCCATCCCCTCTGTCCCTGGATGGCATGTCTCAAAGCTATCCTGTCCTGCAACAGGACATTTGCTACTTCTTCAGTCAGATGGACATCCATCCAAACACAAACTTGCCTTGTGTCTAGTGGTCTGGTGCAGTAGCCTGCCACGCTGAAGGCTGAGCAATGTCAGGAAGGGCTTTGAAAGCAGATCCAGTTACACATGGGACCCAGGACCCCTGAACCCTGCCTTCATTCCTGTACCCTTCTTTTTCCCAGCTGGTGCACACTCCACCAGGTCATCCACAGTGCAAGCTGCTTTCTGCTTACAGGAGTTGATGGTCACTGCCACTGGCAATGGAACTCTCCCACCCAGCCTGTGGATGCTGAGGGCTGCAGGCTCCTTAGACAGACAGGGAGCCTACTCAGCCCAATGGATTTAGAACCTGTAGAGTTGGCAAGCAGCAGGACCGATCAGTGGCTATGGAGCAGAGCAGGGACCAACCTCTGCCTGGTTATATCCCTGAGTCTAGTCACAACTAGCCTCAGTTTTCTCATCTGGAAAGGGGACATGAAAACTACCCATCTCATAAAATGCTGAAGGAGTTAAAAACAAGGCAAGTCCCCTGAAGACAGGCACGTGAGATCACCAAGGAAATGCCTTGATGGTCATAGTGACAAAAGCAACTTTGGGCTTAGAGAGACCCAGACAGAGGGACACTGCAGATGACACTTTGCTCTGAAGATTCCATTACAGCTCTGGGTACAGAAAGATGGCACTGGCCTGAGAGATGGGGATCCACACTGCTTCCAGTAGCTGAGCTTAAACACACCTGCAAAAGGAATACTTGCTGTGTGCCCAGACTCAGCAGACCCATCACCCCACACTCCCCTACCCCTCCCAGGTATAACCATACACCTTTCAGCCCACCCTCACCTCAACCAGTTTACAGGCCTTGAAGGAGCCCTAGAATCCTGTTCTGTGGACCCAGAGGGATAACAAGTTCCTGGGACAATCTGAGGCCTAGAAGAGTCAACTGTGAGTCACACTGCCCTACCAAGGATACAAAGAAAGAGAGGGAAGGAGCTGAAGAAAGTAGTGAGTGTGGAAAACTAGCTTTCCCCACCCTAGGAAGTGAGCAGTAGTACTTACTGAAGGTATAGCCCTGCATGCTGGCAACCTTCCTGAACCTCGGGGTTACCATAGGAAGCAAAGGAAGCCCCCAGGCCTTTTTACAGCAGTGTGAGCTCTCACAGAGAAAGGCAAAAGTAATAGGGTGCCCATGGGTGGGCTTAGGGGAGCCAGTCCAGTCCCAACTCTGCATCTTGGCAGCCCTGCTCTCAGGGGTTACCCCCAGGCTGGACTAAAGCCACCTCTGTCTGCACTCAAAGCCCAGTGTTCACAAGCATCGTGCCACTGAATAGAGGCAAGGTGTGTGCACATGGGGCTCCACCTGGAGGCAGTCATTAAAAGATCCCCTGTCCCAGGCTACTCTCAATTCAGAGGGCAAATGTCCCTGTAAGAGCAAACACAGACAAAGTGTGAAACGAATCCCAGACGCCTAAGGACAGGCCAGGGTCCCTCAAGGGAATCAGTCTAGAGGCCCTGACGCCCCCTTATCCCCCTGAACAATAGGATTGTTTTCTTTTCCTTCGATAAATGTGTCTGCATTAACAGTTCCCAAGCTCTGTGGTGGGGAAGGGATGGCTGTCAGGCAAGTGACAGCTGGAAATGAAATCCAGATCCTGTCAGGCTGGCAGGAGGTCCCCATCCTCCAACTTGGCCACTCAGGCTCTCATGGTCACAATGCCACAGCCCTCTTAATCCAGGAGTCACAGATTAAACTCAGTTCCGATTGGTCACAGGGTAACGAACACACCAACCCTTCATCTCTCTAAGAGAATATGGGATCTTTATCTCAAATTACTGTCCTTTCTCCTTACCTGGCTCAGTCAGGTCTGCCTGCTAGGCCAGGGAAGCCTGAAAGGCTGACTGAGGGGTCACCATAGCTAGTCAAGGCCAGAAGCTCCCACCTGCCTACCTTCCCTACTGTTTGGCCCTTAGCACTCTGGGGCCAGGGCCTGCTCATCTACCCATGTGATCAGTATTCATTAGCCTCTACCCGGAACCTGTGGAGGGCCTGCCATGTGCACTCCCCAAGGCAGCTGCTCGGGATGCCTAGCCCCACCAGTCCCTCCCTGAAGCCACTGTGAGAGGTAAGTGCTATTACCACACAAAGAAAAATGGCTAGCCAATGCTGTAAAGTCTTGCCACAGCAAAGCTGTGTCCCCTGCAGTCTGGCTGCTTCCTGTCCAGCTTTCCTCAAAGCTGACTTTGGGACTCGGAGTCTGCTGATGGACCTGACAGGAACAATCTGTCTGTGGAATACTCATGAGCCACAAGAGTAATGTGGACCCTGAGGGTTGTGTAGGAGTTCGGTGAACAGTGAAGAGAGGAAACTCCTCTGGGGAGTAGCAATGAGAAAGTCCTGTGGCCAGCGAAATGTGTTGGTTGCCTCTTGGAACTGGTAAGCAGGATCATAGCATCAGAGCTGACCTCGGGGGAGGGACAAGATTGAATTAGAAGGACCTAGGGTTTGTGGTTTGATCTGAGACTCCTCCTTCTTTGCCTCAAGCAGAAAAATCCTGTAAAAGGATCAGATACTGTCACAGCCAGTGTCCCACCACTATGAAGCAACCTGATCTGGGCAAAGGACACCCTGCAGTCACTTCTGACACTACTCTCTGAACAGATGAGCCTACTTCCCTGTCTAGACAATAGCAGGTGGCCAAAGACCTGGGCACCTATAAGACTGCCCTCTGTGGTACCAAGCCTCCGAGGAACCTGAGAAGGGTAGATCTCCTCCCCTTTCCCATATCTATAGAGGTCAGGAGACCCTCCTCAATTCTTCATTTGTCTGAATCAACATTTTAAGTTACTAGTTGTATGGCTTTGAGTAAGTTAGTTCGTTCCTCTGTGTGTAAACAGGAATAACTTTATCTGCCTCATTAAGACTGAGGTAACAATTAAATATGTCACAGAACAAAACCCAGTACCTCTGTCATGTGGTTCTTTCCACCTCGTGGACTTACCTGGGTTTACCCCTCCCAAAAAGCTCAAGTCCTTCTAGGTCCATTCCTGAAGGACCCTAGATCTAGTACTGATTATTTAGGGAGAAGAGGATTCAGTCTCCAGCAAGCAAGTCTCCCGATTTTCATCCTGGACTTGGTGGAGTGCAGGGGAAAATCTTCCCATTTCACTTAAACAATCAGGAGGAGGCTTCAGTGCTGTGCTGCTCACTGGTCAGTGCCAGCAGCACCCAGCTGTCTCCCAAGATGGACACCTAATGCCCTTCCTGCTCCAGGGAACTTTGCAAAGAGAAAGACCTGCACAGTGGAAGCCTGGAGAGTTCTGATGAAAAGGAATGTCAAGACTGGAGACCCAAGTATTGCACACCCCACAGAAAGAAGAACCATGAAGTCAGTGCTGAAAGCATCAACCAAGAGCCCTCACCCAGTCACTACCTCAAGGAGAGAGGAAAAGGAGAGGCCAGGAGAACGCTGTGGGAGGTAATTCGAAGCAGGAAGCACTGGCAAGCTCCCCCTTCCCAGGCCTACCGCAAGCCAGCTTCCGCTCTGCACCTCCATGGCTCAGATTCTGGAGCCTGTGTCAGGACAATCTGTACCAACCCCAGGCCCAGGGTGCCCCCCTCACTTCCACTCGTGACTCACAACTAGATCTCCACATGCTGAAGAGAGAAGTTTGGGTGGACACCAGTGTGCAGGCAATGCTCAGCTCCTTTCCGACTAATTAACTAACCCCGCGCTGAGCAGCAGAAACACTGGACACTGACTCCAAGGTTAGTCCGTGTATTTCCCTTATCTTAGGAGCTCCTGCCTCACCCACGTATCTGTCTGCAGCACCCCTGGGCCAGCATGAGCAAGTGAGAAACTGCCATCTTCAAGCGCTCCGGGGTTGCTGCACCTTCTGGGCACACTCCATCTAGAATTCCTGGTAAGCTAGAGGACAGAAGTCACAAAAACTGAACTAGGTACTCTAGTACCAGCCTCCTGGGAGTTTCCAGTACCCGAAGAGACCTTGCCAAGTTCCTCAACCTGTGAAAGCCGCGGGACTTGAAGTCTACCTGTCTTCTGTTGTGGCCTTAGGAACTACATCCTCCATTCAGAGTTCGCTGGCACTGGATTCCCTCCCCAGTGGTCCTGCTTGTTCAAAACCTCAGTAGACTGTGGGGTTCCTGGTGGACTTCGAGTCATTGCTGATAAACAAAACACCCAGTAAGAGAAAAGCGGCCCTAGCCCTGCGGTTTCCATCGAAGCTAGATCCCCACGTAGGTTGGGGAGTATAGAGGGGATCAGGCTCGGGCCACCACGGTTCCAGAACCGTGTGTCCCTAGGTTCAGTAGGGCCTCAGCCACAGAACACTAAACCAGCTTTGGGCGGGAGCTCGGAATAGACGTGGGGCAAAGACTGGCACCCGTGACCGTAGCAACAAAGTTCGAGACAGTTCAGAACTAACTGCTGCTCTCCCAGAACTGTGCGCGCGCTCAGCCTGCTCCCACCTTTGCATTTGTTCAGGCTCAGGCGAGGGTACGCCAGCGCGCTGTGGTCTCAGAGTCCGACAGCGGAGCCTTTTCGGGTCACGTGGCACCGCGGCCGGAGCCCCGGCGCTGACCCTGAGCGGAGGGAGGGACCGACTCGAAGAGGGAAGGGGCGGCTTGGCGGGGGCGGGGCAGCCCAAGTTCCCGGGATTCCCTACCAGAGCGGCTCTGTGGAGACCCAGTCTACAACCCACTGGTCACCGGCCCCGGGCCAGCGCCGCGCCTTCCTGTGAGGGCTTTGGCTGGAGATCTCTGCACAAGGCAAGGATCTCGTTCCTGGGGTCCTGCGCCTCATCTAACCCCAACATTCCACCCAAAGGAGCCCGGGACCTGCCCCGGTGAATCGACCCAGAAAAGTGGAGTGCGCAAGTCGAACAGCAGCACCTGCCCCAGGCGAGCGCGAGAGCTGATGGAGGGGGCCCAGTGATCCTGCCCTAGACGCCTGTCTTTCTTCTCTGCAGGTCAAGCTCGCGCGGGGGAAAATGTACCAAAGCTTGGCGCTGGCCCAGAGCGCTGGCCAGGGCACCTACGCCGACTCCGGAGCCTTTCTGCACTCTTCGGGAGCCGGCTCCCCGGTGTTCGTGGCACCCACACGCGTGCCCTCCATGCTGCCGTACCTGCCTTCGTGTGAGCCGGGCTCGCAGCCTCCCGCGCTCGCCGCGCACTCTAGCTGGACGCAAGCAGTTGCTGCTGATTCCTCGGCCTTCGGCTCCGGAAGCCCGCATCCGCCAGCTGCACACCCATCGGGAGCCACTACCTTCCCGTTCGCTCACAGCCCCCCAGGATCCAGCGGCGGCGGCAGCACGGGGGTCCGGGACGGCGGCGCCTTCCAGGGCGCGCTGCTGGCTCGCGAACAGTACCCGACCCCGCTCGGAAGGCCCATGGGCGCCTCGTATCCCACAACCTACCCAGCATACATGAGTCCCGACGTAGCCCCTTCGTGGACCTCCGGACCCTTCGACAGCAGCATTCTGCACGGTCTGCAAGGTCGCCCTGGTGGCCTTCCTGGTCGCAGGACCACCTTTGGTGAGTACCGGGCTGGGGCTGCTCAGTGGACCCGGCTCTAAAACTAAGGCGCGCAGCAATAAACCCGCGCGCTACGAAATGTGAAAAATCCGAAATTCGTTCTTCTGCAGTCAGGGCTCTTCCGCCTAGAGCTTAGATTCCCGCCTAGAGCTGCTAGGACGTAGGGACCTTCGTGAAACACAATACGATGAAAAACGCTCGATACAGAATTCTTTTTTCAGCACAATAGCAAGAAAATAATATATTTCTGCTTTTCACCCGACCAAACCCAGAAAAGCAGTCTGGGTTATGTCGATTTGGAACCTACATTTAAAAGTTTTCACGGGAAGTTTCGGAAATTATTTTTGGTTTTAAGACAGGGTGTCATTTTGTAGACCAACCTAGTTCCGAACTTAACAGTAATCCTCCTGCTTCAGCCTTCCAAAGTGCTGAGCTTACAGGCATGAGCGAGGCTGAAAATGAATTTTATAAAACTCAAAATAACGATTATTTGATCAAGACTCCACAGCCATCTCGTTCTGCAACGTTGGCGTTCCATCGTGAGAGTTCCATACCTCACAGGAACATAGATTAGATTAGATTCCAAGGTTGTTGAGCAGGGAATCGTTTGTCTGGGTTTCTGAGTATTTTTGAGGAACAGACACCACAAAGCTCCATTTGAAGCCTTGGGGCCTTATCTAGGCCATCCCTCCTAGAACTTGGAAGCTTGGCCCCCTGGTTCATAGCCCCAGACTAGTTTCAAGCGGACCAAGTACACTTAGCCGGACAAGGGCAGCCCCTGTGCCTGTTACCTACCTCCAGCCAGTAGGTGACTGATTCCCCCTACCCTGAGCCAGTGTCTCACTGCTTGCATATTTGTGGTGCCTGGCTAGAACTGCTTGCATATGTGTAATCCCTGATGCCCCTGTGTCTTCTCTCTGAGGGAGGACAGTGGTTGATCCCACAACAAAGCTGACAGTAGGCCCTTGTAGAATCACATATCTCTGTCTCCCAATCCTCTGACCTTGAGGCCTCTTCACTTTTACACTGAGTGGGACAGGATAGGGGCAGGGGGAGAGAAATAAGGCTCATCCATACATTTCCCACTGCCTGCTTCCAAAGCATATTAAAAATACAAAGACTGGTGTGAACTAGCCTAGTTAAGAAAGGGGCCATCTCAGGTGTCTACCTTAGAGTTTGGCTTATTTATACCTTATAAAAGCAGCCCTACCTAACAAATACCACTGAAAATGAAGTATGACTAAGTATATAAATAAATAAATTTCTGTTTAAATGAGTAAGCTTAAGACACTATAGAAGGATGCCAAGTACAGCAGAAGCCCTCAGGCATCCTGGTGGGGCGGAGGCCCCCAGTCCACAACCTTCTTGTCCCCACAGTACCTGACTTCTTGGAGGAGTTCCCTGGTGAGGGCCGGGAGTGTGTCAACTGTGGAGCCCTGTCTACACCACTGTGGCGCAGGGATGGCACTGGACACTATCTATGCAATGCCTGCGGCCTCTATCACAAGATGAACGGGGTCAACCGACCGCTAGTGAGGCCCCAGAAGCGTCTGGTGAGTGTGACAGGGAGAGGGCCAGGGCCATAAGGGGGATAAAAGGACTGCTAGCTCCTACAAACTCAGCGGTGTCTGGGTTCCTGAAGGATGGGTTAAGGATTGAAGCACAGGCACTGTAAGCTGCCCAGGCCAACTCATCTTCTCCTAGAGTTTGAAAATATCCAGGGAACCATCAGGATCCTGGCAAGGAATCCTGATAGGGACCTGGCTCAGGTCTCACAACCCACTGCAACATTGTAACCTTACAGCCCATTGAAGGTTACTTGGTATTGACAGACAAGGTAAGTTTCAAAGCCACTTGCTACAAGGTCACAGGATATCTCGGAATCAGTTTTGAGAATGAGTCTGCCCTGGATGCATATAATACAGGAATACAACCCCTGGATACAGTCTCTGTGAGACCCTGAGGATTCAGTCTTGCAGTGGGACTGTGTTGGTGGTACTAGTGGGTGGTGACCTAGTTCTGAGTATTAGATGCCTCCAGGTGACCCAGCACAGATAAGGCTGAGGTGCATTGATGGTGGTTAGGAGTCTAAATGAGAGGCTCTTTGGATGTGCGTCCTTGGGAAACACTTTCTGCCTGTGCTTCGAGAGTCTCTAGGAAACCAGGCTTTTGCCCTTTGCCTAGCTCACTGGCTAAATCTTGTTTTCACTTTTGGTTCTTCCCGGTGCATGACAGCACAGATGTTGGGGATGTCAGGACTCAGGCTTGGATCGCCAAGTTACTGAGGCAGGAAGTAGCTTTGTTCTATGATCTCACAGATCAACCTTTAAGTTCAAGTTTAAATATGTGTTTGGGTTGAAGTCGGCAGCTTATGTTTTGCTATGGAGGCTATGGTGGGTTCGTGGGTCTCAGATCTGGACAGGACTAGTCCTGAGTATCAGGCCCTCCTGTCTAAAGGTGTGAACCCCTCATGAGTGTCAACATCTCTGCATGGGAGCAGGCTTCTTAACTTCCAAGTTTCAGAAGGCCTCTTGCCCATAGCAGGCAGTACCTGAGGACTGGGTCCAGCCTGACAAGTGTGTTGAAGGTAGTTCTTCCCTTCCTCTGAGCTGGGATTTGGGATCTGCAAGCCCATTCTGCCCAATACTTTGCTCCTTGCCATCTTGAGGGGCCACCTCAGAGGCTATTGTGCCTTCCGTGAGCTGCCCAGCCTGGTCTTTGTGACATTCACTAATGAGGAAACCGTAGAGATACAGCCCAGTCATGGAGACCTCTCAGGCTTCAGGGTACAGTCTCACCAGGCAGCAGACTTGCCCCATACCTTGACTCTGCCCACTCTCCTCTGTGCCAGGCTTTACACTGTACGCTCAGACACAGTGATAAACAAAGAAGAATCAGGCAAGAGCCCCTGTCTGCTGTGGGGTAGAAGGATGGTGATCCCTGGCCCCAAGCCTACTCTTCTCACCACTCATACCCCCATCTCAAGTTTTCTGTCAGCACACAAGGGACAACCTTGGACCTAATCTGCTGTGTCTCCTACAGGAGAGGGTCCCCTTGGAAACTTTCGAGCCTTGGCCTATCCGAAAGGCTCCAGTTGGCTTCTCAGCCGATCTTGGGTAACTGGGTTCTGGACAATGAGGAAGGCACTCTGTAACATTGTATTGTAGCTTGCATTTTCAAAGAGCTTCCCTGCATACATAACTTGCCCTCCAAGCAGGGCTCAAGCCACTTTCCCTTGTGTGTCCGCCTTGGCAGAGCTGCCTTTGCACTCCAAGGCTGATGTATTCAGAGGTCCCCAGTGCTTGGAGCCTGGCACTCAATGTTGCTCACCTTCAGGTGAGCAGCCATTGATGATAGACTTCTCTTGAAAAGAACAGATAAATAAATAAATAAATAAATAAATAAATAAATAAATAAATAAATA